TTCCCAACTAAAGCTTCACCTCTCAGGGGAAAAACAGACAGACAGACAGACAGAGGGAAGCCAGGCCTAGAAGGAAGTGGCCTTAAACGCACAACTCCTGGTGTCTGGGGGTGGGTGGGGGGTGCTGAGTAAGTGTGTGTGTGTGCACACCTGGTCCCTGTGGGTTTACACTGTTCCCCACCTCACGCCCCACTCTGATTACGTCTATGAAGGACGCAAGCCCTCCCTCCGACCCACACTCCACAGGGCTAGGACGTGGGGGCGGAGGGGGGGGGCACGGCACACACCACAACTCCACCAATACCACCCAAGTCACTGCCACGGGGCGGATTCTGACTCAGAGCCTCATGGAAGGACACCGTGGTGGCCCGATGGGCTGAGACCTGAGACCAAGTGGGAGGCCCGGCGGCGTTTCCTCCGGGGGCCACGGTGAGTCAGCACCAACCTTGCGGCACCCAACATCGACAAGCACCATCTTCAGGGGACCGTTTGCCTCATTCTTCTACTGAGGAGCAGCTGGTGGGTTTGAACTACCAATCTTTCAGTTCACAGCTAAGTGCTGGATCAGTGCGTTGCCAGAGCTGTTTCAGAGGCCCCCCAGAAGGGGGAGTCTGGCCTCCACGTTGGTGAACAGACGGGCTTGGGGCACGCAGGGGCATGAGAGCCTCCCGGTTCCATGTGGGCAGCACTGCCCAGCAGCAGACGCCCGGGGCAGGAGGAACAGAGTCAGGGCTTCCTGCATGGCTCCCGGCTGGGACATGCCAGGGCTCTTCCCACAGTTGCCTTCTTGCCACGGAGCTGCACTGCCCACCGGACAGCGGCCACCGCAGGCACTGACACACCGGAGAGGGTGATGGAGGCCGTGGAGCAGCCTTGTCCTGTTCTGCTGGAGCTCGCCAAGAGTTGGGGTTCACGAGATGCGGTTAACAACCCGGCGTCTGCTCGCTCCTATGTAGGTCACGCACACACATGCACGGCACACCCGGTGGGACCAAACTAGGGAGGAGAGGTGCTCATTCTTCCGTGTGTCCAGCACCAGGGCAGAACCCGGCCCGCTGTCCGAGGAGCGTGGACAAAGGCCCAGCAACCTCCCAGGAGCTTTCCTTAGCGGGTCTCCACGGAGACAGAGGAGGCCCCCCCACTCCCCGCCCCGTGGCAGCCTTTCTGCCAGCCCGTGGGCTCGCGGCCTCCCAGGGGGCCTCGTCTGTGGCCCCGGGGGGCTGTCTAGCACCAGGCCTTGCAGGCTGTGAGCCCGTCAGGGCAGCTCGAAGCCTTGCGATCCTCCGTCTCCGTGTCTAAATTTACCTCCCGCCTAAAATACACCCGCCATCC